CCCCGCCCCCACGCAGCCGCTCGGGCAGGCGGAGGCGGCGGCTGGCGCTCGGCAGGTGAGGGGCGGCGGGCGCCGGGGTCGGACGCGAGGGGGGGCTCCCCTCCTCTCCCCTCTGCTCGGGGCCGCCTCAGGCGCCGGCGTGCCAAGGGGGGCGGGGTAGAGCCGGCCCCGAGGGACTCGCTGGGCTGCCGCGGCCGCCTGTGGTTCCGCGGCTTGGGAGCAACCTGGGGGCTGCGGTTGAAGCCCGGGGGATAGGGCTTGGTGGTGGGGTTGCAGCCCAGATGAGGCGCTTGGGGTGAGGGGGGAGACTGGGGGGTTTTTTTAATTGCTGGGGTGAGAGGGAAATACGCCCGTGATGAGCTGCTGTTGCAGGGAAACCTATGTGCTACCTCAGACAAGGAAGCCCAGGTGGAAAAAGGGCCCTAAAAAGTGGGACGGGAAAGAGGAGCGTGTCCGAGGCGAGGCGCAAGGCAGTGTCACCCTCGCAGCGATGCCTTGTGTTGGGCCAGCAGTATCGGCCTGCCTGGCTCAGAGCCCCAGCAGCACAGGTTGATTCAATAAAAGGTGTCATCCTAAGCTATCCCAGCCTCATATCATTTCAGGCCCATCACAGTTTCACATGGCTCTTACGCTGCCCTAGGTGCAGCACCGGACCTAGACTCCTTGTGGTCCCAGGTGAACGTGTAGTATTTGCCAGAGATAATGATAATCATAATTATTTTCACCATTTTCGGACCCCCTTTCTGACTGGGCCTGGTTCACCCATGCCTGTGTCCAACCCTGCCTAGGTGAGAAGCAGGCTCCTAACACTGTTTGTTCAGTTTGATGTTGAAGCTTGCCCTTGAAATCCTGGCCTCCAGTGGCATTGTTCTTGAGTTATTTTTTTAAAAGTAGTGCTTACCTACTTAGTATTTGCCACTTCGTATTTATCGCGCTGTGGTGCGATAAAGATTGCAGGCTTATTTTTGATTTCACTTAAGATCTGCAAGCAATATCACACCTTGTCAGTGTAGAGCAGTGTTTTAGAGGGGGTAGGTTGTAACCGTGTTGGTCTAAGGACATGGGCAGACAAGGTTCTTTGGGTAAATGTGATATCTTTTATTAAACCAACTCAAATAGTTGGAAGAAAGATTTTTTTTCCAACTATTTGAGTTGGTCTAATAAAAGATACTGCATTTACCCAAAGAACCTTGTCTTCTGAGCAGTGGTTTAAATACTCGCGCTGTTAAGTAGTGAGGTTTTAATTGATTACCTTATGAAATTAGGGTTGTTTTGGACCCAAAGTAGCACCCCACAGAACTTTTTCTTCTTCTAAAAAAAGTTCTGGGCATAGCTTTTGTACTGGGCATAGCTGACCCAGCACTGCCTGATACCTTTCTGTATATTTTGTTTATTGTAGTGGATGCATAAGCATTATGACAAATGTTTTTTGACAGATGGTGCACAAAGCAGCAAAATCTTGAGTGGTTCTTTGTAGCTGCGGCTAATATATCATTGCAATATTTTCACCAGTTCCGGACTGTTGCCTTATTGTATTTGTTGTTGGCACCCTTCATCACTTACCTTTGCTTTGTATTACTTTATTAGTTCACTCTATTTACCTGAAGCTGTCAGGTGTGGTGACTGTTTCTATGGACTGTTTAGTAACTATAACATCATTAGCCATTTCCTTTTAGGAGTAAGGGTATTTTATTTTGAAGTATGTACTGTGACAGATGTCATATGTTTAAGCATATCCATATTCCTTGACAAAGAGAGAGGTTGGGAATATGGAGCAAAAACTGAAACCTGATTGGTTATGATTTTTTGTAGAGGTTTTTTTGTTGCTGTTTTTTTTCTTTTTTGTTTTTGTTTTTGCATTGTATTTACGGTTAAGTATGTTTTCACGCATTCTGAGCATGGTTGTATCAGGCTTACCTTTTTGGTCTCATTTAGCAGGATTATACTTCTGTTGCACTAGGTTACTATTACCTTCTGAATAAAGAAGGATAAATAATTTACCAGTGTCACGCTTGTAATAAATAACAAATGTGAATGTACATTGCAATTGACAGCATAGTACCAGAACACTTGCATCTTTTTCATTATATTGAAAAGGGTAAGCTTTTTCCAGCTGAACAGTTAAAACAATCTCTTTCATTGAAGGATTTATTTTTGCATCTCAGAGGAAGTTTAACAGTTGTTAGTCTCGACTCCTGTATTCACTTTATTTAAAATTCAGATTGAATGATTTTAAAATTCTAGTGAAAAGCTTTTATAGTCTTTCTAGTACATTTTGTTACATCTGTCAAAGAAGCAACTTTCCTTCTAAGCTTTTTTTTTTTTATGCCTAGTTTTTGTAGTAATAGATTTAGAAGTATGGTATTTAAACTGAGATGGAGATGGTCTTACGTAAAATCTCTTTTGAATAATGCAGGTTCATGCTGATGTCATTCATATAATTACTGTTTTCCAAAAAAAATAAACAAACAAGCAGAGGGAGTACTTCATTATGCACATCTCCAAGCAATTCTGTAGAGCTTTAAAAAACCTGTAAAGCATAGTTTTTTTGTTCTAACTAAAAACTTCAACTTTGTTAGCTGCTCAATAGCTATTGAATTCCACTCAATTCAGTAGCAGTGGAACTAGACCTAAAATCCAAAAAGTAGAATGGACAGACTATTTTGGAAGAATCATTGCATTAACTTAAATGAATCAGCATTTGTTGTAAAAATGAAGACTGTTTATAGGAAAACACTTAAAATCTAGGACATTGATATGTTAACTGAAAGTGAAAAAAATCCAATTTTCACGACACCAGTGGATTACATTGTGCAGTACTGGCTTTCAGTTTAGCAAAAAGGTATTGTAACCCTCAGCTTTTACGCAGGGTATTAATATGTTTTTTATAGACTTCACAAAGCTTTACGAGCATTATAAGCATTTAGGTGTTTATCTTTGAATATTGGGTGTTTCTGGTGACTGTAGTAGGTACAACTCCTGTACATAGCAGCGTGGTTTTTTCATGCTGACGATGTCTGTTTAAACAAAACAAAATAAAAGAATTCAATAAAAAGAACTGGGCTTATCTATACTTTTTCTGAAGTGTATGGTGGACACTCAGCACGGTCCTTTAAAACAATATGAAATAGTGAAACATAGAGAACTAAATTAATTACCATATTTACTTGCATACTACACACTTCCCCCCCACTGAAATTAGCCATCTAAAATTGCGGGGGGGGGGGGGTTAAGTGAAGAAGCTGATTTTTTTGCAGAATAGAGGCCCGGGGACCCTGGAATGGCTGCTGTGGGCTGATTCCCTCTTGGCTGCAAGGAGGAATTGTGTAGTCTGTGCTTCAGCCAAAAGCTAGAAGTTAACCTTGTCACAGCTGCTGCCAGATTAAACTGGTAAAGCCCCCTGTGTGGCCACTTAGCTTTGTTACACCAAACTGGTTTAATGCGATATCGCATGAGACTGCACAGTTCTCTTGTGTTGACAAGACCTATGGTGACTTGCTCCATAATATGCAAAATAATCTCATTGCTGGTGACAAAATTTAAGAGATTCGGATTGTAGTGTGGGTGCACTTAATTGGGTGACCTCTACAATACAGAAAAAGATAAGGTAATCATTCCCCATTCAGTGCTTTGTGCTGGAGCATGACAAGCACATTTAATTCCAGATTATGCAATGCAGAATTGTGTTTCAAGCCTTATTTGTTTACTGTACTAAAAAGAATGTCTGTCTAATGGAAAGGCTAATTTCAGGCATTTTGAAGACTCTGCTTAGGCAGAATTAAAAAAAAAAAACCACAACAACAGCCCTGTAGCAGAAATATGTATTGAATTCTGACAAATTAGCTCTCTATTTTTTAAAGAGAAATTTATTTGAGAGAGAAACTGCAGAGATTAAAGCACTATTCACAACCATCAAACAAGTGGATTTGTTTTGTAAAACACTAACTAGGTTTGACTTTCTGTCACCAAAAGCATTTACAAATACTATATTTTTCTTTCCAAGATTCTGTCAGTTAAATGGTAACAATCCATGTGTGTGCGGCTGCTTTTTGGGTGCTTCTCAAAGCTACAGCTGATGCTGACATTTCTGAAACATGAAATGAAGAGTGAGAGTTCTAGTGACATGATTTATAGACAGGGTTTTATTGTTTGTCAAGCATTTCTTTAAGTGGTTGTGAGGAGCTGTAATGGTAATTTTGAAGGGTGGGGAATGTTTCTGGAGTTGCTTATAGAAATGTTGAAACAAAAATGACATTATATTGAAGGAAGTTATGAGATGGTAGACTGTTGCTTTGTGGGAAGCCATCAATCTTATGGATGTTTGCTTTGATTCTTACTAGCAGTTAAGAGGCTTTAATCTCCATATTAATATAAAATAAGTAGGCTAGCTGTTTGAGTTGTCTTGCTGTTGACATTTTTCGCATTTTTGATTTGGTGTTTGAAAGTACAGTAAAAGCTCTGTTATCTGGCATCCCCCTGCGAATGGGGAATGCCAGTTAATCAAATATGCCGGTTAATCAAATGTGTACCATCTGATGCACTCCCGGTGTCAGTGTGCCAGGGGACAGGGAGAGGGGCCCCGCACAGGCTGCTTTGGCTTGGGCCGTGGGCCAAAAAGTGACAAAGAAAAACTCGGCTTGCGGCAGCGAAACCAGAAGTCCCCCAGAGGTGGTACTTCTGGTTTTGCTTTTGCTGCAGCCCTCAGATGCCGGTTAGTAGAGTTTTTTCTGGCTAATAAAGTGCCAGTATTTAGCATCTTATTCAACTAACCTCCTTTTCTTACTGATATTTAACATTAGATGTAGTGCAAAGGAAATACCTTAAAAAATTCTGCAAATTAGAAATCTCTGTCTGCCTGTGGGAGGAGCAGTGGAGAAAACGAGGATAAATAGGCAGAAACTGCAAAGTTCTTTACCGTATTTATGTTGGTTACTCTCTGTTCTTTCATTTAATAAGCAAAATTTGGTGCATAACTCCCTTGTGTGCTTTTGGCTATAGAAGCTAGTGTTGTGTAACCAAACTAGACTTATGAGCATCCAAGGCTTGAGTGGGCCT